CCCCCCCACACCCCCCAAAAAAAAAAAAAGTAAGAAAGAAGAAAAAGGCATTCAAGGGAAGGTGTTTGATGGTGCATAAGAGATATGAGGTAGACACATAATAGTTTCATTAATTTAGTGATTTTTCATGAGTTTATGGCATAATCCAAACTCTGGCATGGTATGAATAATTTTCTGGAGTTGCATCTGAGGGGTCTGCAATAGAAATTATTTCCTAGCTGTAGCTAAATTTTGTTCAAAGGATTAGTTTTTCTAAATTTCAAAAGAAGAAGAAAAAAGAATATTTTTCATGGCTCATTTACTGCCATCTGTAGTTTACATGGCAGCTTAATGATGTTTGCAGGGTATGGGCATTACAACCGCTAATGCTGACAGTGGCATTGTGTGATTCTTACATATTTCTTAAAAATTCTCCCCGAAAATGAGAAATATAAACATATATATTGAAAAGGGAAACTTTTTAAGTTGATTCTTATAACATAGCTGTAGGTACATCCTACTTTATGTTGCCTCTTTAAATGTTTATTAGAAATTATGCTGTTAGAGTGCAACATTCTTTTATATTTCCATCACTCTTCCACATACACTGTCCCTGAACTACCTACTCTCATGGCTGCATGGTAAAATCATAACTCATGGCATTTCATATTTGTATAATTTTCTGATATGGTTTTTATTGCAAATGATAGCACTTGCACTGTAAAAGAAATTACATACATATTCCATATAGTATTTTATTAGTCTGCCTTTCTTATTTCATTGGTAAAACAGACTTGCTATCATGTGTGAGTATCTTTTCCAAATTACTTTTGAATCACTAACAGATTTTTATTAAACTTGTTTGTGGCAACCAGTGAGTCTCAGTGGTCATAAAATGAATTGAAAAGATACTGTTACAAACCATTGTTCAGATAGAAGACCTTTATAAAAACTGTGGGAATTAAAATAACAGGACCTAAAAGACTTGACAGACATCTTAAGGGATGAAACAAAAACTGGATGAAGTGTATTTTTGACATGAATCAGGGTATTGTGTGTGTTAATTACCCATAGGTTATAACTAATGTGAATGCGTTAGTTACACATTTGCTCACTTTTATTTGGATTTGTAGGAATATGCAAACAATCTTCTGGAGTCTGGTGTCCATGGGGCTCTCATAGCTCTAGATGAAAGTTTTGATTACAACAGCATGGCGTTGGCACTGCAAATACCTACACAGAATACACAGGTAAAACACTCCACTCATGCTTGTAACATATATAAACTTGGTTTAATATTGCCTTATATGCTTAGGTTTCCCAAATGGTCTCTCCTTCACTTAACGTAGATTGTTGCCACTTCCTTTAGTGCCCATCTGTCATTCATCTTCCCACATGTCACTCATTACTTTGTAATTTCAGCAGTTGATTCATTGTCATGAAATTACTGAATAAACACTTTAAATTTTAATGATATTAACTTGCATGCACACATGCCCAATATCACCCATACTTGATAGACTTATTTTTTAACATAATGCAATTTATCCTTCACTCTTTATAGGTGCGACAAATGTTAGAAATGGAATTTAACAACATGCTAACTGTTGCAACAGAACGTCGGGTGGAATCCGATTTGCCCAAGTCTTGATATTATACCACAAGACATCCACACACCTAAGACTCTTTCAGAAAGTTGTTGTGGACAAGTGTTTGGACTGAGAGGACTTGGATCCGTAGTAGCCATTGCCTGGCAGTCCTTTCTCAGTTCAGACTGGTCAGATGAAACACCAGCATCAATCAGTCAGTACTTGCATTTTTTTCAGTCACAGGCACTTAGCTGCATTACCACACAAAGTGAAAGCAACTCGTCTGATTAGCCAGCAGTGTCTATTCCATTGTTTTCTTTTTTATTTGTTTTTTAAATGGTTTGATTTCAGCCAGTGCTGAAACTCCCATCCCTAGTCTGTGTCGTATCAAGGCAGTTGGACTGATGTCTGAATGAACTGTTGTAAATTTTAGTGTAACTGTCAAATGAAACAAACACCTGGTAAGTAACCTGACACTACCTCCATCCTTATTCAGATATGGTGATGTTTTTCTTACTTTCCTTTTTCTTATTTTAATATTTACGAAAGGACTTACGTTACTGTTTTGTCAATAAAAAAAAGAGCTTTAAGAATATTATTAAGTAATGTAATTGCATAATTGTCTCAGTCAGTGCCATCATTAAGAGGACTCGCGGAACATCAAGTCAGTAATCCGCTTACCATATTATGTGTTGTGTAAACAGTTTACCTTTAATCCTTCCTCTGAATTAAATCCAGCCCTGTTTCCAGTAGATCCTTCCTCCCTCCCTGTACTTGACAAAATTGGTGCTTTGTTGTTAAAATGTATGATTATTACAGAAAGTGAAGACTTGTTTAAAAAATATAAGTTGGTAGGGAGTGTTGAAATTGCAGGACATTTACGGGCCTACAATTTAAGAAAGATGGATAATGAAGTAGATGATATGAACTGTATGTCTTATTATTGATTATAGTTTAATGAAATGGTTACCAAAGTAAATTGGCAGTTGGCCAGTTTGTTGAAATGATTGTACAAAAGTGTAATGAATGAAAGATTAGGAAAGATCCATTTCAAGTACATGATGCAGTTGCTGAATGTATCCAGTATTATTTTATACTCTGATCATGTTCCGAAAACTTAGCCCTTCACAGAAGAATCCTGAGTAGGAGATCATAATAAACTTACCTTTTTCTAATAACACCTTGGCTCTAACAAGTATTTCATGCTGCATCTTCATTAGTTATCTTTGCAATGCTGTTACTGATAAAAGGACCAAGCCAATAATAATGGTAAGCTAATATAGTAGACAGAAGCAGCTGCAGGGATCATAATCAGTACATACTGTGTGACACGTCAGGACATACAGAAGTATACTATTTGTTATAGTAACCTCAGTAATATTAGGAAAGTGATTGATTCATAATTGCATAGATGACTGCTTTGAGTATGTGTTATTTGGATCTTATTTCAGCAGATTTATTCTGATAAATAATGAGCCTGGAGATTACTCTGTACAAAATTTATTCCATTCATGTGACAGTTCATTCTGATGGAAAATAATACACATAGTTCTGTCTATATGAATTAAAAAGTGACTGTTTTTACTTGTTTTGAACTTTCCCCGAATGCATGAAATTATTTGTCACTAAGCAGTTCAGAATCCAACTGGACACAGTCAAATGGAACTGCAAAAACTTATAATATGATGTCTTCCAGGATGTTGCACCATGTAGTGTAATAGATGTTGAGTGCTTATCACTGTGATGATGGAGGCAGTAATTTCTGCTAGACTCCATGGTGCAGTAGCCCAGAAGACAACCATCTTCATACTTGTCACTGTGATAACCTCAAATCCCACCTGAGAAAGTTTAATTTTATTGCTTAAGATATAGTTTTCATCTCAGTAAATACATAATTGTGTGTTTGTAACAAGATTCAGCAGGTAAGGGATCAATTGGGGAAAAAACTTGAGGATGACCTTCCTTCCAAGTTCTCTCCTTGTTTCTTGACAAAGGCAGACATTCATATTTTTGTAGGTATTCAAATGTGTATACTTGAGAACCATTTTGATTGTGAGTTTCTGTCCCTTCTGCACACTTTCTTATGTCAACAGACACAAAATTAGTTCACAACTGTGGTCAGTTGGATTCATATAAATGATGTACTTGCAACTGATTCTTTTAAACAAATGTTGAATTTTTCCTGAAATGGTATGTAGCATGTTCTACCCATATGAATTGCACCAAACATTGACGCCTGTTTATGTTGGGAAGAAGGCTTCATACTGAGCCAAACATGGAACCTGATGATCAAGATTTTTAAAACTCCAACACAGTCTATCTGAGAGAGGGCCATTTTCTGTATTAAGCAACAACGAACCAGTGCAAGGTGATTACTAGGGTTCAGATGTTCATGACCTAAAAAACCGAGCAATATGCATGCAAATATGCCCCAAAAATAGCGAAATATGACCTACTTTGTTATGAAAAAATATTTGCCAACATTTAAAAAAAAAATTGTATTTCAATCATGTTATTTATTTATATATGCATGTACAACTATATTACATTACTTGATTTCCTAGCAATTTTAATCAAAAACCTCGGTCGCTTTAAGTTGTAAATGCCTCATTTTGGATCAGCATCAGATATTGAGAATACGTGCTCCTATAAAAATAAGATAAATTTTAAGAAAGAGCCTTTCATGCATTTCAAATGCATTAATTACAAATAAATTTACAAACAAATTAAAAATAATACGTAAATTTCTTCATTCTCCTTTCTTGGCAGCATTACAGTATATAACGATGTGCATTTTCAAGGTCTCAAATGAAAATCTTATTAGATTGTCGCACAATATGGTCTTGTAACTTGAGACATCACAAACGTTTTGTGGCGTTATCGAAAATTACAGCGATAGATGAGCGGTTTACTGTATCAAGAAGGAATAAGTCACCAGGGTGGTCAGCAAAGAGTGTGCCAATAACGACATAACAGGCAGGCACAGTTTTTTCGTAGTGTTGATTCGTCTGGAATTAACTGAATCATGTATTTCTCCAAGAAAAATTTGAACTGCTTATTGTTCACTTTCTTCAGTTGGCAGACGCCATCATTTCACACAGGTCCTTTGAAAATTCTGATGTCCTGTTTGATGGTGAAGTTGTTGCAGTGTTATTGAACAGAAGTCGTTGCTCGCTTTAATGAGTGGTTTGTTGGCTCAATTTATTTTTATGTTTTGCCGTATCACAATGTTGCTGCACATTAAATCCCTTACCAGCTGTAACTTTAACTTAACAAAGTTTGCAGAACATAATTGTTCCATCATAACTAAAATATTCCTCGCCGAAATCTTTAACGAAACCTCTTTACTTCGCACTTTCAGAACACTTCACTGTTGGCATCTTAACTAACTGAAGGATTCACTGTAAATGCTTGAGAAATGTATTTACAAGTAAGAATTTTATACCCAAAATATGAATTTTATCCTCAAAATATGCATTTAACTACAAATGTGACCAAAAACATAAGACCTAAATATGCATTTATATGTAAAATAAAAACAACATGCTTGTGATTAGAATAATCCAGTTAGTGTTTAATTTCAGTTTAGAATCAAAATAGAAGCCCCAATAAAAATATGACGTCATGAACATCCGAACCCTAGTGATTACTCATGCCTCTGGTTGCTGTGTGCATGAATAAGGAAGAGGCAACCCAAGGACAGACATATATTTATCAGTGGATTATGGTCTTGTTCCCACATCAACCCATATGATGGAGACAGAGCAGGTATCCAAAATGATGGTTTTTAACTCAACTTTGATGCAGGTTGTCACGTGATAGGATTTTAGTGTATTTATTTACTATGAAAGCTTCAAATCTTACATATGAAATCCATTGTTGCTTTAATCCTTTCATATAAATAGGATTTTAGCCTAACTTCCTTTCTTTATGGAAAAGTAGAGGCTTCTGGGATCTCCATGCTGTCTTCCCTGGTTTCAAGTTTTGAACTAATTAATCAGTTATTTACAAAATTTTGTATAAAATGATGCTTTAAACTGTCATAAGTCTGTAATAACATGGCAGTCACACAAACCCATGATGTGGGAGCACTTAAGATAGTTTTATGAAATGGTGTATGGTAATAAATCTCCAAAAATATTTAGTTTTTGTATTTTTAGTATAATACATACAGTATGGCAGCTGCAGTCATACTGACTGAACCAGCTTTGCAGCATAATGTGTTAAAGTATTTTCACCCTCTGTAAATTTACAGCAGCGTTTCTGGAACTGTGTTCATTGGATCTTTCTGAGGTTATGAAAATGTTTTAATGCTATGTTTAGTAAGATATCTTGCTCATATTATAAAACACAAGATGCAGCAGTAAAAGCTTATGTTTCAACAAAATATTATCACAACCTCATAACATTTAGTGCCAGACAAAAATTGTAGCTCAACTTAATTTATTTGACAATGTAACAAGAAAAATAAAACTTGTTTCATATTAGACAAACACTTTTGTTGAACCTTGAACATACAGCCAACTGTGTGACTCTGAGGCAGAAACTTGATACACATTTATTTACTTCAAATTTATATATATAAATATAATAGAAGTACAGCTGATTGTTAGACATACATTGGATTAAATTGTGTGCAAAGCATCTTATTTCCATCGGTTTTATACATTGAGTATTATTAGTTGTATTAAAGCCCCATTTAATGTTCTGTCAAGTCACGTTGAGGTAACCACTTTTGCTGATGTCTTGTAATGATAACCTCTACTTTGAGTGTGAAAAGGTGAAGTGATTTGGACCAAGAATGAGCATCTCATTAGCAGGTTAACTTCAGACATTAGTATTATAAAATTAATTTTTTTAATACAGTTCTTAAACCCATTGAATGAGCTATCCTATTTACTGTAGGTATTCAGCTATTCTCATTTGTGTGAAGCCTTTCTTCCCAGCCAAGGTTCTAAGTTTTCGTTGCATGTGTGTGTATCTGTTGTCATGCAGCAGTGGGTGGAGAAAGTTGAGTGTTTTGTCAAGATGCTTGTAGTGAGGTTACTCTCCCAATCTGTGCATTGTTGTTACTACAGGGAAAAATATATTGTAAGAAAATTATTGTTTTGTTGAGAGATAATTGTTCTCTCTGCCCCATCACCATTGTGTTCCCAAAAAGTCGCTTTTGCACTTGCCAATAAGTTGCTAGAAATATATAACCATGTTAGATGTATATGTAGCTGAATAATTTAATAATAAAATGACAATTTTCTGGTAGTGTGAAAGCGACTTGATGCTGAATTGATGGAGCTCAGTACACAGCATTAAGAATTAAAGTTAAAGACAAAAAAGAAATACTGTTTTAATGTACTTGTACCTTATTGATTCTAGATATGTAACATGGGACATTGTTTCCACAAAAAAATGCTTAGCAGTAATTACGTGGTAGAAACGAGTCCATGACATAAAGAACAAAGGGGGACACAACCAAACAAGAAGGAAATACTTTTATACTCCTTTCAAATATCTGTCCATTAATTTGTCTGGTTCAAGCATTGTTTTTATAACTGTGCACTTTGTCATAATGTCCACCTGTTTTGTATGGAACATTTAGTATATCTATGTACCCAAATTCAATTGCATTTTGAACAGCAGAGCTTTTAATGGGCAGATCATATAAAAAATACTGCAAGCTAGTCTTTTCTAACATATTATTGAATTTGTTGCAATGAAATGTGTATCCTCAGTAAGACATTGAGCTTTCGATTCAGGGAAGTAATACCTGTTGACTGTATTGGGGGTCTGATGCATAAACCGATAATGAAGTTACGACCTCTTGGTTTTCCTTGTTTGTTATTTATTTTTACAAGAAAATAACTGTTATATTAAATTGCCAGTGTTTAAATCAAACAATGTTAAATAAATTGCTAGTATACAGTGATGCAAGAAGTCTGCGCTCAGAATCTTGTTGAGAGTAATGTCAGTATTTTGGCACAGCATTCCAGTGAAACGACACGGAACAGCCTGGACCCGAATTGTATCTTGAATAATATTGTTTTGCTCCCATTGTGAGGAAATGTGTACAGACTGTATAGATATAGCAATAAACTGTACATACTTCAGGAATGATACTTCTCATTCATGGGAATACTCAGACAGTGGTTCTACGTGAAGAACTTTTGGTACTTTGAAGGGAACTGCGAAAGAAGGCATCATCGGTGTTCAGTCATGAAGTTCTAAAGCTATTCCTGAAATAATTTCGTACAATGTTACCACTACCCAAATAATGAAATAAAAACTGCTATAGTAATTTAATGTGGTAATGAGAAGTTTAAAATTATTCAGCCAAAATAGCACTCAATGATGGACTCTGAAGCAGTTTATTGACAAAAAACTGCATCGCTTCTTTTTCTTATTGTGGTAAGTACTTCATTGCCTCATGTTTACATTTATTGTACATTGCATGGATGCTATTCTTGTGACATACATTACAATTTTCAGACAGGTTTAACTTGATTTATAATCATGGATTAGCATACTCAGAAATCTGATATCCTGATTCACTAGTGTTAGTATTTTAAGTTTTGGTGTGTAAAGCCATGTTAACATTGTCTGATTTCAGTGTTGCATGAAATGAAGATGTCTCTTCTGAGATTTTCGATTCTCATGGTGGTAAAGATGTTGATTGTGGTCTTGTAGGTGGTTACCAACATTTTAGACAAACATCACCTCAGTCTTCAGCTTCAAAACCCAGAAAATCATAGCCAATAAAGATTTAACGTGCAAATTCTGGTGTAAAATATGTGAATATCGGCTGATCAAGTGATCCATATCCTTACTGTATGTGATACTACAAAGAAAAATGTTCTTGGGTTTGGGATTAAAATGTGCCTTCTGAAGATTAATATTCCGAACACTGGTAACAACCACAAGACTACATCGCAGAAGTCTGTACACTACAATATCTGAAGATGACTGTCTTGATGGATGTTGCACTGTGTAGTCTTGCAGAAAATTACCAACATTTTTTGGGGGTGCTGAATTGATGATGGAGGCAGTGAGCACCTCTGAAAAGTCAGTTTCTACCAGACCACATGGTGCAACATCCCAGAAGGCAGCTGTTTTCTTATGTCACAATAAGAACTTTAAATGTTACCTAAAAATCGTGTTTGCTCTCCAGCCCTTTTGCCAAAACATTAAGAAATATGTCCTTATGCAGGCCAGCTAGTCAGAATATAAATCTCTCGATTTTAAGTTACCAAAATTCCTATTAACGGAGGGACATTTGAGAATTCATTTTAGCCAATTCTTAAAGATAGAGAGTAGACTTAGGTGACAAGAAAGCTGGTGATTAATGTCTCCCTTGCCAACCAGTTAAGTAATTTTAATGATATTGGGACAAACTATAGTATGTCATTTAGTGCCACCCTAACCTCATTTTTCAATCTTCAATCTGTGTTGTCGGTCTAACCTGGAGGTGGAACAACAGTAGTAAGGAGTCCCTAAACGATATATTGTAACTGATATTCGAAAAATATACACTTTTGTTACGGTATTTTCTTTGTGAATTGAAAAACAACGTCACAGTCGTTGCAAGCAATCTATACTTGGGTTAACAGCAATCAATTGATTCCTCGATTGATACCATATGTTGGTATTATCTGTGATTCACGTGTCTCGTAGAAGTCTCTGCTGACTTTATTTTGCGAGACGTTATGACTCCGTGTAAAAGAGAAAGATATTGACAGCAGGAAGGGCAGATCTGCTGCAGGTAAACAGGCAGGAAGTATCGATATTGGCTTATTACTGTGTGAAGTACATATTTGTATAAAATAATAAGCTGAAGTTGCATGATCCTACAGTATGTTGTGTCATTGTATGATGTCAGATTCACACTGACATGTAATTAATTAAGTGACAAACAAATGGAGGCTAGATAATATATTTGTCTCCTGGGATGTTGTGTGGTGTAGTATGGTGAAGTTTTCTGACGTTTCGGAAGTGCTTACTGCCTTCGTCATTAGTTCAAGCGACAGAAACTGTCATCAAAATTCAAATCCAGGACTTTTTTCGGGTTGTGGCCTCTGTTACTTAACCTCCTCCCGAAGCTTCTTTTCGATTGTCGCCGTTCTATCGTGCATAGTTCCTGAGCGACAGAAATCGTCTTCACCAGGACAATTTTTCGGGGTTGCAGCCTTTGTTTCTGTAATCTCATCTTTGAAACAAATAATTTGGCCTTGGTACTGTCCTTCAATCGTGCCTAGTTCCCGAGCTGAAGGAATCTCCCTCACTGGTACTACTTGAATTCCGGTTTTTTAAGACTTTCCTGAAATCTCTTCATGGTCTCAAGGAATAAGCTTGCCAGATTTGGTGCAAACTGGCCCAAGTGAACGTATGTAGGTATGCATCTACAATTTCAAGGTTATTTTTAAGGTAAGTAGTTGGCAACTGCAATCTTTGGGTTTTGATGATATGAAGTCTTGTAAGTGGTTAACAATGTTTTGGAGGAACATATAACTTCCGACTATATCATCTGCACTATTTTGAGAACCTCAAACCTCAGCTAACTAATTATCAGTATTAAATAGTAATTTTAGATTTGAAGATCTCATGGTGGCAGGCAGACAGATGGCTGTCCTCCGTCTGCGTTGTTGCACCAATGATCTGATAAAAGTTTACTGATGTTTCAGAGGTGCTTGCTGCCTCCATCACCATCACTACTACCATGATGATTGAGGCAGCAAACACCTCTGAAACATCAGTAGACTTTTGTAAGACTATGCAGTGCAACAACTCAGAAGGCAGCTATCATCAAAAACACTAATTTGTATTTATTATGCAGACTTCTGTAATATGTAGGCTTATGGTAAGACTTTTTATGACAGATGGAATATCAAAATTACATAATTGAATTACATGTGAAGTTACAAATTAAAAAATGAAAGGTTTGTTTCTTAAAGCCTGTTTTATAACTTACAGAATCTTATACAATGTGCTCAAAAATACACTGATTTTTCAAGTTGGTTAGTTACATACTACATTTTTTCTCTCACTTCAGGTGATACAATGGGGCAGAGAGAATCACAAAATATTTGTGGTACTTCAGCTAACAAAGCCACTGATAATAATGAGGAACTGAAGCTAATGGAACATTATTTGCCAGAAGAAATCCTTGTTCACATTTTGAGTTATGTAGATGCTGGGACATTAGTAAAGTTAAGATTTGTCTGTCACTGGTGGAAACATTTGATTGATAATGAGGTATGGAGATTGAAAGTTTCCAGGGAGAATTACAAGAGTTTAAATTCTGTGGATCCTAAATGGAAGTTACCGTGGTTTGTTTATTATTGGATATGTGTTAAAGATCCTTTTGGGAAGAATTTTGTGAAAAATCATTGTGGACAAGGTTAGTATTAAGGAAAAAGAGCAATAATCATGTAATTATCTGTAAGGTCAGTTGTGTGCTTAGTAAAATGCCATGCTATCATTTATCTCTCCCCTAGTTGCTTCCTTGTTCTTATCTTTTCTTTTCTGATTCTTCTCCTCCTCACTAGTTCATTTACATGTCTTGCTACTAATTATGGCAAGCTTTTCTTCTTAATATATTTGATGATTTATTCAGACTTTTCATGGAAATACCAGAATGTTATTTTAAAGACTCCTATGCCCAAATGCTTCCAATTTATAATCTCTCAGAAACTTATTGCAATGTGAATAGCATGAAAAATTTGAAAGGGGAGTACAAATAATTAATGATTTTTTTAAAGACTATAAACTGTGGTGTATTAAACATTTTTAAAATGGAGAAAGAGAAAGTCACATTATGCATTATATTTGCATTTCTGTGCAGTTCATAATACAAACAAATGGCACTGAAGGCTGAGATAAGTGATACATTCAGAAATTGTGTGGAAGTGTATTCTTATTCAAGTTATCAAGGCTATATTAATATGTGTTACCAAACATTGCAATTGAGTGGTTGGCACTCCTGCTTCATATTTTGGTGGTGCATGTCTCTTCTCAGAAACTGATTATCCTGAGAGTTTTAATGGTTTTCTTCAGTATCTTAAGGCAAATGCTGGAATAATACCTTTAATAAGATGTGGCTAATTTATTTCCAATTTATTAATCATTCAGTCATGGATGCAATATAGTGTAAGCTAGTGACAACATTATTGCTTAAAAAGGTAACACTGTCCCTGGTACACACCATTGAGGCACTTTACCCCCAGTCAAAGGACCTCTGGTACCCATTGGATAGATGTTTGGGTAGGCCACAGAGCTGGTCTAGATACAGAGGCCAGAAGAAAGATC